TTAGATATAGATAGTGGTACAGATATTGGTGCATCCCATTAAGATGTGAATTAGATATAGATAGTGGTACAGATATTGGTGCACCCCATTAAGATGTGAATTACAATAGTTGAGAGCTGGAATCATGTTTCACATGCTTTTTTGTTTCTTCAATTTAGCACCATATTTGGCATGCTGCAGATTCAATAACATTTTTGTTAATGTGATGGATTTTCTATTTTTTTCTCTAGTCAGAATATAAGTCTACATTGAACAAAAAGCTTTTCTTTTTCCTGGTGTATTAGTGCACTGACCTAGCTCTCTTTTCAGTTTCTACAGTCAAGACCTACTTATTTTATAAGATGTTCATTCTGTTATCTCATTGGACATAAGACTCCCAGTATACTCACCAATATCTATCCAAGCAGAAGCACAATCTGTCTTGGGCTTATTCTTTTGTTTAAGGATTTTTGGGTAAAAATGATAACACTAATTAAAGTATAATGTAAATGTGAGGTTGGAAGTTTCAGACATTTTATAAATACAAATTAATTTCTCTTCAGTTTTCATGGTACATAATTCCTTAGCATGTGTTACTTTCCTTGTGGAAACAGAAAAACAATGAAAAATATGTTATACCTTGAATGGAAGGAGGTTTGAAAATTTACTTAAACAGTGTCTGATGTATGTTATAATTAAATGCATTTAGATTAAATAAATCCATGGGAAAATTCTTATAACCAATGAACACATAAAAATATTTTTACAGTATCAGTATCAAATCAATATTTCCATATTTTCTCATATATTGATATATGAATATATTTGCATATACCTATGAATGTAGAATGAAACAGATAATTGAAGAAAGTCTACCAAGTAACATGGTTTCCCTTTGGGAGATTAATTTTTTCTTTATTTTTCATATTTATTTTTCTATCCTTTTGCATTTTTGATGTTTGTCTAATAACCTTACATTTTTCTCCTAAAATATATGAATGTAAACCACAATTGCAACTACCACATTCAACCTTTTAAGACAAGTATTAAAATTAGTTGTTTTCATTTAATATTAAAGTTTGCATTTTTATTCAGGAAATTCTCTCTCGTTTCTCAAAAACAGTGAAACTAACACTATAAGGGTTGAAAGAATACTGAATGAAAAGCACAGTGAGTTAGATAACCTTGACTTTGGTCCTCGCTCTTCCACAAGTTATGTGACACTGAGAGGAGATTCCCCTGTCCGGTTCGGTGATATTCCCCCTCTGACCTGAAAGTGCCACTTTACAAGTATCCTCATGACCTTATGTACTCATTAAGCAAAGGATGACCGCACAACCATTTGCATCTTGTTGCTTATCCAAAATGAAAAATAGACTAATTTAATGCATATCTGGACAGTATTTTAAATAGTTATTTCAAATTCTCTGAATTTAAAAAATATCCAATTGTGCAAACTGTCCTGTGACAAACAGGGCAGACTTCAACACCACTGGAGCACGTTGTAGAGAATTTCTCATTTCAGTTTCTTGTGAGAAACAAGTATGTATTATTGGCATGGTTTTCCTATATCCATATTCGTTTCAGTCATGATTCTGAACTTTCCTAGGTGCAAGATACAATTAAAATATGTGTGGGAGGACATTAAACTTTGGACACCTTAAATGCAATTTAAAGTATTTCCTTTAAAAAGGAGAAAGAGGAAAATCTAAAAGAGTCTCCATAAAATTCTTTCCCTTGATACAAAGAGGTTGCACAGGTGGGTAATTATATATGAATAAATTGACAGAAGAGGATCACACTGACAGTGCTTCTCAGAGCCCTGGCAGCCGGAGGAACTGTAAGATTCTTGAGGGAGATTTAAACTCTTCGCAAGCGGACACCTTTGGACAAGTGCACTGTGTGGAAGCCATGTACAGTAATGAATGGTACACAAGGCAAACTCTAGAAAAAGCCATTTTCTCCTGGGCTGCATCCGGTTATTTTTACTAAAATTGCTACCTTGATTTGTTCTTTTGCAATTTCCTGCCTGATTGTCTCATTCTCTGGGAACTGACCTTCTTTGTGAAGCAGGGAAGGAGAGCTCCTTGAGAAAGCAAAGAAACAAGAAACAATAGAGCTGAGATTCAGCATGTGAAGAAAGTAAGGGGATGCTAAGAGCCTCTCCTAGGGTGGAGAAGTTGGTTACTGCCCACCCACTGCCTCCAGAAAGGCATCAGCTAAAACCAGGGCTCAGCTGTAATAATAGCTTTAATAATAATAGTATTTATAAAACATATCTCTCCAAAGAACTCGAAGCTCTTCCCACTCGGAGTCTTACTGTGCCTGTGTAGGCCCAGCTACTCTACTCTGGTTCGGCAGGAAGCCTAACAGTTGAGGGCCATTGTTCATTTAGGGCTATATAGTGCAAAGCAGGAAGAGCACAGGCTTCAATACCTTCCTCCTCGAAACGAACTTTCTTCTTGCTGCTTGCCGCTGTTCTTTCTTTTATGTGCACAACTGAACAAAAGCTTCATAAACTTTCTCTAAACACTGAAGCTAATATCGCAACTTCAAAAAGAAAATTTAGTACTTTCTCTGCCTTTTTTCCATTTCCAATGTAACTTCACATTTTCCTGGATAAAAGTAACTGCTGCCTTTTCACTGGGCTTAGATATAAAAGCTGTGTTCTATAGGCGCTATATCAAAAAATCAATCAGATTTTTAATTTCTATTTTGGAATTTCATAGTTTTCACCTATAATGGACACCGTGTCAACCATTTCCAAGCATGAGAGATTGATAGAATCACAGGGAAAAATCTCAACCTTAAACGATCTCATAGTAATCATAATCAAAGCTTTCTGGTGCTTTGAAAATTTTACATAATCTTAAAAATATTCAAGTCAGGTGTGGTGGCGCACACGTGTAATCCCAGCACTTGGGAGGCTGAGGCAGGAGGATCGTTCAAGTTTGAGGCCAGCCTGGGCTACAAAGTAAGTTCAAAACCAGCTGAACTATACAGTGAGACCCTGTCTCAAAAAGGCCAAAAAATATTCATATACATTTTATACCCATTTTTTGATAAGCACTAACCTGCTGTTAGATTTTTACTTACATCTGCCTATTTTTTCCTATTGAAGTTGTTTCTTTACTCTTTGAGCTGCCCCCTCTTGACAGTGCGGAATTCAGGGTTACCAAAGATAGGAAATCAGTTCAGTGACTCATTTTCCAAATTTTCCAAATATGCAGCAAAGCATGAATATATTCAGTGAAGGATGTTGGCTAAGAGATGAGTACAAGATTAACTTTTAGAAAAATTTAGCCTGTGTATACATCCTCAAGGGGAAGGCACTATGTGTGGGTGATTTGAAAAAGAAATCATCACCAGCCGCAGGGCACTTTCTGATGGTTTCATTTGTCTTACACTTCCATGTAGTGCCAAGAAGAAACACTTGAGAACACGTAGACAAAATGAGATTTGAAAATTTTGCCACTTACAAATGGGTCAAGCCTGTTACTTATTTTCATATTGTGTATCCTAACCATAACTGGATTTAAGTTTGTATCAAAATGTGAGTTCTACCTATGGAATTTGTCCAAATAAAGGAAACATGCAATTTTGGAACTAGAAAAGATTTTGAAAATTTCATCAATGACCTAATTTCATGGAAGCTGAAATGTCTTGGACAGAAAATTACTTCTGTGATAGAAATGTCAGTATTGCCACATGCCAAGCATCTCTGCCCCCTCAGCGCTGTGCCTTGCATGTAGCCACAGGAATGTCAGCATGAAAATATATACTGGTTATATAATTTGATGTACTGCGCCATCACAAGGAATTTATAACACTCCACTGACTTGTTTCTGAACATTTTCCTGGATGGTTCTCAGAAGTGTTTTCTGAGGCCAAAGTTGTCCTTGTCCTTAGGCAGACCTTGACTAGTGTTCAATAACCATCTAAATGTGAGCATAATTTTTCAAAACTCTAATGCTCATTTCTTTGAATCAGTTTGCATGGAAAAGGGAAGTGAACAAAATTGTTCCAATATGTTACAAACACTCTAATTTTCATGTGGAAATTCTGATTTTTAAACCTCAGAGACATATTTTTGGTAGAAAAGAAGAGGGAACAGACATAACCGAATTCTTTCACATTAATTATTACATTAGAAAATATAAGCAGTAGTTTTAAAACTACAGCTTTATATTATGATTCTTTAAGTGGAACTAGAAAAATATATTTTCAGAATTTAGAATTGGAAAAAGTAATTATTTTTCTATTTGAAAGTACTATACCATATTTAATATGATTTTCCAAGACAATATCCCATTAATTTTGTGGCTTGGGTCACATTAATACCACTGTGGCAATAATAACAAAGTGTTTCTAGGCAATGCTTTTGAAGGGCTTTCCCAAGGTGTGTGCTTTGCTGGTACAGTTTAAGAGAACATCTATGTTACTACTGCTTCTTTAACTGACTTTCTTCCCTTTGTTGACATTGTAGAACCCAAGAAGTTGGTAAACTTTTCATGAATATTTTCTGGCTTGATCTCTTCATCATTCTCTCTATGCATAAGGTATGTAGTATATGTGAATGTATGTGATTGGTACTTATATTTGTCTTATATACATTACATGCATTTTGCTTATTTAATAATAATCCATTTAATTTTGTGTCCTAAGTGGGTGGTCTCGTTTTTTATTTTAAAGGGAAGAGAAAAACAAAACAAAATAACAATAATGAAGACAAAAACAGAGCAATACAAAAACAACAAAAACAATACAGAATTTCAAAACAAGATGATAGGAATTAACAATGGTTGCTGTATTACACACTGCTATCCTCAGCAAAGTTGCTCAGATTACCAGATGTAAGAATTCAAGATTGATCGAACAATTAAAGATAATAAATTAATTTAAAAAGCATTAAAAATGATACAGAGCTTCATTAAAGAAGGTGGTAGGAGGAATTCAACAATGGTTGTTATATTGCAGTGTTGTTTTCCAAATTAGTTGCTCAGATTACCAGAAATAAGCATGCAAAAGTGGTCAAAAGAAAAAAAATGTAAGCATTAACTGTATCTTTCAATAAACCAACAGACATCACAATACACTTATCTCAGCTATCCTCGTATGTGCACATATATTTTTTATTGTATTTTTTATTTTAAAGATAAATGAACAAAAACATATTTAAAAACTCACAGACATAAATGAAACAACATAAAAACAATAGAGAATTTCAGACAAGATGATAGGAAATTAACGATGGTTGTTGTATTACATATTGTTATCTTTAAATTGGTTACTCAGATAAACAAATATAGGCATATGAGAATGATCAGACAATTAAATATCAACTGTTCCTCTCAATAAAGCAACAGAAATTATTAATACATTTATTTTAGCATATATATACTTTATTCCTTTCTCTCTTTTTTTCTCTTTTTTCTTTCTTTCTTTCTTTCTTTCTTTCTTTCTTTCTTTCTTTCTTTCTTTTCTCTTTGACCTCTTTTAGAATTAAGTTACCATGGCAGTTTTAAAAGAGTTTTATTCATGTTGTTGAGCACATAATTCTGATGTTTTCATAATTGTGACTTTCCAACTAAGCATGTAAAATTTCAATTTTGAATTATGCATCTTGCAAAGGTAGCTTTCAAGTAAGACCAAATTATGTTCGAAAAGTCATTTTTATACTTTGCTGTGTATTATTCCTGGGCTGGACTAACCCTCAGATATTTACCTATAAAATAATCTCAGAAAATACATGAGGAGAAATCCCAGCAAACTGTTGAGATAGATCACCAATTATTCATATGCTTTCCAGAGTAGATGAAAATGGATATCATAGTGTAAACTATAAACATTATATACTGACTGCCCCTTCAGATGGCTACTAATTTCTTTGAACTTTATCCCTACCAATTGTGCAAGTAATTTTTGTAGCTCAAATAAGTATTAGAATAGTTTATTTATCTCATTATTATTCTCAGTAAACGTGTATACAATACTTTTTTGAGATAGAATATTATCAGTTAAGTTTATGTTTAAAAATTCTCAGATAGTAACTATTAATATGATAAAAATGAGGAAGTGTAAAGGTAAATTAAATATATTTTATTAAACAGCAGTTATTTCTCTGAAGAAAAAATATAAATCATTGTATCCTCCTTTTGACTTCTGCTTAGGACTAAAGTTTAACAGCTGCAGAAATTTAGCAAAATAAAATCAAATAAACAAACTGAAAAACCATCATGGCAGTAAAGAATTGAAGAGCTAACCAGACTCCATTATTAATAGACATTACATTGTGTAACTGCAAGCAAACACAGAAAGAATATGGCCAATAGACTTTACAGTAAATCTGGATTTTGTGGATAATCTTCATTTTGAGCAGAGTATTTTCACTTCCAATTTGTAAAACTCCTGATGAAGATTTCAGTTTGAACATATTTATTTCCTCTAGAAATCCCACTCAAATGTCAGATTCATTTGCAAAATGAATAAATAACCAAAGACTAAGAGAATGGGAGGAGGATAAAGAACCACCAAATTTCAGAATCTGAAATGTAGGTGGCCAAGATGTTCTTGACTCAAAGAAACACGTCCTTAAATTAATTTCTAAGCCATCCAGGAGAAAACCAAGGAACGACTCGTTATACACTAGTATATAACTTGGTCCCTCAAAAATGATGGCCTTGGTCCCTCAAAAATGACAACTTGGTCCCTCAAAAATGATGGCCTTGTAAGTTTGGAAGTGGCAGTAAAAGTCAAGCACAGTGGTTTATGCCTCTGATCCCAGCACACTGGGAAGGTGAAGCAGGAGGACTGCATAGTGACTTAGCAAAACTCTGTCTCAAAACACACAATAAAATGGACTTGGGATACAGCTCACAACAAAACCCCTAGGTTCAATCCCAGTACTTCCAATTTAAATACATACATGCATGTAACACTAGAAATAAGAGGATTGATCAAAAGATTGTTTTGGAATAAATTATGATGAAATGAAGACATCCCCAAGTCAACTTCCAGGCTGGTCAATGAAGTTTACCACTCAAGCTTGCAGTCTAGGCTCCTGGAGAACAGAAAGGGATCATTTGCTCCTGATGACAGTATATAGCTGAGAGTGGGGACACACTGCACGATCTGGAGGATAAACTGAATGTTTACCCCTTCACACCTAGCCCTTTTCTCCTTCCCAGGCATCATGGCTGAATTGTGTCCCCATCAGATTCATATACTGAAGCCCTAAGATCTAGTAGCTCAGCTGTGGCTGTATCTGGAGGCAGGGCCTTTCATGAGGTAATTGAGTATGAATGAGGACATTGGGCATTCATTACGACTTGTGTCCATATGAGAAGAAATCTGAACACATGGACACCAAGAGCACACTTCCTGCACACAGGAAGGACCACGTGAGGGCACAACAAACAGGAGTCAGGCAGAGAGGCCTCGATGATGCCAAAGCTGTGGACAACTTGATCTTGGGCTTCTAGTCTCTAGGATGTGAGAAATGCATTTCTCTTTTTTAAGCTTTTAGTATTCCACCTTGTGGGTTGCCAGGGGAGCACTGAGTAAAGTGAAATTGTCTTGGGCTGTATATAAATTAAATAAAACTTACAGGTCTGCTTAGTAACCATAAATAGCTGTTTTCATAGGCACACATGTGTAGGAAGGTTGAAATACTATCATAATATATTACACTATAGTAACATAATGTGCTGTATACTGTAATGTACAAATAATGTGAGTATTTGTATTGGCTGTGTTTTATAGCCAGGTTGCACAGTGCATGACATAGCTGATACACATTGGTTTCAATTCAACTATGTGTGGTTGGATCAGAAGGTAGAGTTAGCATTGCACTTTACCTTCCCCTACACAGCAACCTATTTCTGCCTACACAGTCTGGCGCTTGAGTACCATGCAACAAATTTACAAAAAACATTGCAGCTTGATGTGGTAGCTCGCACTTGTAATCCTCCAGCTCCTGAGGATGAAGCAAAAGGATTGGGAGTTTGAGGCCAGCCTGGGCTACATAAGGAGCTGAAGGAAGGCCTGGGCTACATATTGACCTCTTGTTAAAAAAAGTTGCCCCCTACCTCAGATCACTAAATAATAAAGTTCCCAGTCTTGTGGTTTTGCATTTCTAGCTAATTAGGAATGAATGTGACATGTGGACCATAGGCTGGACACATCTGACATCAGCTATGGATATGTGGGATTTTGTCCTGAAGAATCACATGTGACAATAACCTTTAAGATCAGTAACAGCTTCTGACTGGGCATAAAGACTGGGAGAAACTTGTGTGTGAACAATGTTTATTGCTATAACCTCTTGACTTCAGTTTCAAAAATGGGAAAAGAATTATTTCTTTGCAATAATTGTGATGATGTGTTCAAGATTTTGCAAGAATTGATCTGATCACACAGGAAATTGAACATATGTATTATTAAAATATCACCACTTTTCTCTCAATTGGGTCTAATGTAGATTTCATATAATTGCATGATTTTTGTTTATTAAAGATTTATGGCTTTGTCAGAAAATGATAAAGGTGTTAACAACAAAACATCTTAATATTAAACAGTAGTTCTTAGTACCTGACCATACAATTTTCTATCCCTTCACAATTCTTCTTTATTTGCTTTTGCATATTTTCATATTGACATTGTTCCATTATCATTACTAGTGTCATTTTCACTTAAATATAATAATCAGTATCAAAATAATACTGTATATATTATACTATTGTTATTGTATATACTATATTTACCAAGAATATATTTCCAGTCTTATCTATAGTCACTGTCCTAAAAATTTTAGTATTCTCCACAGATTATTTATGTAATATGTTACATAAAGATACAGTGAATACTTGAAGAACCTTAAGAGCCAGATGAATAAAAGTGGAATTCAGGGAAATAGGGTGGAGTGGATGTAACTACTGGATTAAGGATATAAGATTCCAAATGTCTCCTGGATACCAGACAAATGTCAGTTTTCGTTTTCTGACAGGAGACAACGGGATGGGGGACCTGGTGCAGTACCATGGAGAGCTCTATAGTTTTTACTCAATTCATTTGTCCCGGGCTGCATGGAGTTGGGTTGACATCTGGAGTTAAACACTACAGGACTGACGGCATTTCAGTTGAAAAATGGGATTACTGGGGCTATTGAAAAAGGTAGCAAATGCTGGAGTTTTTCTAAAAGTTAAAACTTGCTCCAGAAATCACCCATTTTTGAAGAAATTATTTGCAAAACCATGTTTGGGGAGATGGAGGAAGAAAATGAGATGCAAATAAAATTACTTAAAGCCTTAATTCTGTGTGTGTGTGTGTTTGGATGTATGTTAGGATAGAACAATAAAATAGCACATACACTAAATAAATAACAACCTATGTATCAAAAGATAAAATAGTACTAGAGTAAAATTGATTTTACTCCTACTTCTGAGAATGTTTAACTGTATGTTTTAGTTTAAAATACATGATCTAAATTTATTTTGAATTGTTAAAAAATGTGACTTATGAAACATTTGTGCCTGTGTGAAAACTGGATCCTTTACCTTTACATAACATGTTGCTAGATTTTCCTGTTTTTCATACCCCCCCAAACACCAGGATTTATACTAGAAAAAGCTCTGTACAATTATTCACCAAAGCATATCTCCATTTTCACTATAAATAATTTCTATTTTTCCTTTTCTCCTACAGAGGCATATACCATGCCAGAAAGCATGAAGAGCTTGAAGAATGTGCATGTCAGCCTCCATTACACATGGCCTTTCCAGTTTTGAATACTCAATAAAAGACTTACTCAGAGTTTCGGTCCACAGACTATTTAACATTGTACTGCCTCCTAATACTTGGGAATAACACAGCAATCTTTGAGATGGGATGTGATATGCATATTTACTAAATATATCTTTGGCACTGTTCAGAAGAGACTTTAGTACATCATTGTGAAAGTTGGATTTGGGAGATGAAAACCATTGAAAATTTTAAAAAGGGAAATGATAAAAGATTGTTGGTGTATTTTGTAATAGTATAAGCCCTAAAACTGGATGACTTGGTTTGCAGTATTGGTTGCTAAATATAATCAGTTTCTTGACCTTCATGCTGTTCAGCTTTTACATATGAAAAATGAGAACTAATGAGACTATTGTTTTGCATGTGAAAAAAAGAATTAAATGTAGTATTAAAGTTAGGAGTTATTAAAAGTGAAATATAGAAAACATTATCCTCACATAGTAAGCTGTCACTAAATTTAATATCAGAATTTAATCTAAATTTTAAAACATAGTTTAACAGTTATATAAGTTTAACTGTTATGTAACACATAGATTATATGGACATGAAGGACAGAGGCCGGTAAGGAAAAGAGCAGCCAAATCCCAGATAACATAGCCTTAGAAAAATAGTGATCAGAAAGGAAGAAAGTGACAGGAAGGAAAAATTTTTAGGAAGAAGCAAAACTTTCTTCTGAACATGATAAATTTAAGATGCCTAGTTGAGCTCTGAGTGAGTAGGTTTCATCTGTGGAAATAAGTTGCCAAAAGAAAACCACTGTAAGTGTTTCTGTTTCACAAAATAATGTGCCAGGGGCTGGGGATTTAGCTCAGTGGCAAAAGCGCCTGCCTGGCAAGTGCAAGGTCGTGAGTTCGGTTCCTGGTACCAGAGAAAAACCAAAAAAATAATAATAATAATAATGTGCCAACCCACACTTAAAATTCCTGTTTAAATGTGTACCTCTGTATTAGTCAGCCTTGTCATTTTTGGGACAAAATATTTTTTTTTTGGGGACAAAATATTTGAAACCTGCACCTTGAAGAAAGAGCAGTTTACTGGCTTCAGGTTTCAGATGGTTCAGTCTGTGGTAAATTAGCTTTAAGGCATCAATGGGCTGGCAGAAGTGTGTGACAGAGAAAGATTCCTCAACTTAGAGCAACAAAGAAGCAGAAAAAATGACAGGGAAGAGTCAGAGGAAGAAATAAACCCTCCAAAGGCAGGGCCCCAGAGACTCTCCTCTTTCAACAGGGGCCCACCTCCTAACAGCAAATTCAGCTATGAACTCATCAACCGATTAATATACTGAGGAGGACAGCAAGCTCATGATCAATTATCTTATTAAAGTTCCACCTCTGAACACAAGATGATTTTAGGGACAGCTTACATCTAAACTTTAACATTCTGTAACTTTTTTCATTGTGAGATGAAAAACAATCACGCCACTGTTAATACATTTAACAGTAAAAGCAACTGTGCCTTCATGACAGAATGAGTAAGAATTATTTACAGTGGCTCTAATTTTTCAGACATAATTAATTTCCACAGAAATAATTATTTTGTGATTTAGGTAACTATTTCATAAATGTTTGAAACAAATTATATGAGATACTTTATACAAAAATGACACTAAAAATGTATTGCTTTCTGAAAAATTATTATCTCAGGCTCTTCCATTGTGAGGAATGTGAAAATAGTAATAAGGAAAGTAAAAGGCAGATTTCTACCTTAAAAACAGCATTAATATTACTATAATATACTTTATTTGAAGAGTCAATCTAACTTGCCCCCCAAAAGTGGTATTTAAAAATAGGATGCAGAAAAACTGGTTGCAGTGGCACACATCTATAATCCCAACCCTCTGGGAGGTTAAGCCAAGAGAACTGTACCTTCATACCAAAGACTGAGCAACACGATGACTTAGCAAGACTCTGCCTCAAAACAAACAAACAAACAAAAAAATCCAAAAGGGTAGGGAACGTAGTTCATTGCAAGGACGATGAGTTTAAGCTCCTATATCATCACCAAAAAGAAAAAAAATATTGTATAAGATTGAATGTCTTAGTTACTTTACTAGGTACTTTTATAACTTATAATTTGAACTCTGACAATTACTGAGTTGAATATTTTAATTTTGGCATAATAGAACTGTCTAAAGCTGGTAATATTATTAAAGAGTCAAGCAAGTTTTCTTCTACTGTAAGCGTTGAACTCTCCCTCAGTAATCCTAGCAGTACGTATTTGTGTTAGCATCTATTGTCTTAGATCAGATATTGTAATGGTTTGTCTGGCTGTCCCCACAAATCTTTATGCAGTCATGAGGTGGGCTTCTAGATTTATGATTGATTTATGGTCCAATGTTGGAATTATGGATGTGAGTGCTACAACTGCCCTTGGGCAGGTAGCTTGCTTATGTGAGGGAGAAAAAGAGGCTGCTTCCTGCCACTCCTCCCTTTTGCTCTTGTTGCTTTTACTGTCTTCTGTCACCATGAACTCTTACCCTCTGCCATGTGCCACTCTACCTTGGAGCCAGCCAAGTATGGACTGAAACCTCCACAAACTATGAATTAAATAAACCTCTCCTCCCTTAATATTCAGCATCAGGTATTTTGTCTCAGCCACTAGAGAAAAAGAAGCCAAGACAAATATATTCTTCCTAGTTCTTCCTTCAGGATAAGTTTCCCAAGAAGCTTCTCAATTTGATTTATTATATAATTTTAGTAGCTTGATCCACATATAATACAATTCAATCATTTTTCATTTCTATCATAGGAGAAGATAAAAATGTATAAAAATAAACATTTACTTCAGGCACTGGATTTCATTTCTTGTACCACTCAAAACATTAATATAATATCAAATCGTGGTTAAAGGTGTAATAAAAGAAAACTGGCTGCAGAAGAAAATGTCTGTTTTTTAAGGTAGATTTTCAGAAAATCTTTTGTGATTGGTTGAGTGAAGTCCAGAATGAATTAGGAGAGTAGGATTAAGAATATTTAGAGCTGGGTTCCTTTCTCACTACAGACCCACCAGCATCTATTATTGGTCGATTTCTTGATAGTACCCATTCTTTTCAGCAATCTCACTGTTGTTTTAATTTGTATCTCTCAAATAACCAGTGATGTTGAACATTTTTTAATATATTTATTTGCTGTTTGTACTTCTTCATCTGAGAAGTGTCATCTGCATCATATCATCTGCAAATGATAATTTAATTTCTTCCCTTCCTATTCTTTTTTCTTTGTCTTGTCTGGGTAATGTTTCCAGAACTATATTAACTAAGAGTAGGGATAGTGGACATCCTTGCCTTTTTCCTTATTTTAAAGTGAAAGCTTTCTGTTTTTGTTCATTTCACATGATATTGGTCATTGATTTGTCACAGATTACACAGATTACTTTATGAGATTGAGATAAAAATCATCTATTCTAATTTTCTGTATGGTTTTTATGAATGCATGGTTTTATGGATCATGTTGGACTTTGTAAAATCCTTTTTCCACATATATTGCTATGATCATATGGTCTTGTCCTTGGCTCTGTTATTGTGTATTACATGTATTGATGTGCATATTTTGAACCATCCTGCATCCCTAGGAGGACTTCTACTTAGTCATGGTGCATAATCTTGATTGTTTGCTGCATGTAGTTTTCCTGTACCTTATTATTTTTGCATTTATGTTCATATGGGAGATTGGCCTGTAGTTCTGCTTTTTGGTTGGCTCCTCACTGATTTTGGTAATAAGGTAATGTTTCTGTGAAGGAATGAGTTTAAGAAAGTTGCTTCATTTTCAATTTCATTAGAGTTTGAGGAATAATGGCATTAGACCTTCTCTAAATTTCTTGTGGAAATCAGTAAGAAATCCATCAGGACTCAGACTTCTTTTTGTCGGTAGATTTTAATTATATCTTTAATTTCTGACACTGACCGATGTCTGGTTATTTTGAATTTTTATATTTTCTTGACTCAGCTTTGGTAATTCATATCTATCCATGAATCTGTCCATTTCTTCTGTGCTTTTTAAAAAGTCTCTAGAATACAGGTTCTCAAGGTAAGTACTGATCTGGATTTCTTCAGGATCTGTTATGATTTCACCCTTTTCATTCCAAAATCCATGAATTTGCTTTTCTTTCCTCTTTTTGATAAGGTTAGCTAGAGGTTTATCAATTTTATTTATCTTTCAAAGAACCAACTCTTCAATTCATTGTTCCTTTTCATTGTTTTCTTTGTCGCAATTGCATTTATTTCTGCTCTAGTATTTATAATTTCCTCCCTCATACAAGCTTTGGGCTTGACTTTTTCTTTTTTTCTAGAAGCTATAGGTTGTTTATTTGAGCTTGCTCCATTTTTCTGATGTGGTAATTCACTGCTATAAATTTCCTTTGTAGCATTGTTTTCATTGCATCACGTAAGTTCTGATATGATGCACTGGCAGTTTAATTTTAGAAACTGTCTTATTTCTTCTTAAAATTTATCTATGATCAATTGCTTATTCAGAAGGTTGTTATATAATTTCTGTGGGTTTGTGAGGATTTTTTTTTCCATTGATTTCCAATTTCATTGCACTCTGATCTGACAATATGCATGAGATAATTTCAATTCATTTGCTTTTACTTATGCATATTCTATGGGCTAACATGTGGTTTATTTTGGAAAGCATCCCATGTGCAGCTGAAAAATGTGTATTCTGAATTTGTGGGGTGGAACACTGGAGACATCTACTAAGGTCATTTGTTCACAGGTTTGGTTCAGTTCTAATATTTCATTGTTGATTTTTTTGTATAGTTGATCTGTCTATTTGTGACAAAAGGGTATTTAAAAAATCCCTCATTACAATTATGTTGTTACTTCTTTGATTATTCATGTGTGTTAATATTTGTTCTATACAATTGTGCATATATATTTATGATTGTTATTCATCTTGGAGTTCTCCATTAGCAAATATGTAATGACCTTCTCTGTTTCTTTTGATCAGTCTAGGCTTAAAGTTCATGATGTCTGCAAGTGAAATAGCTACTCCTGCTTTTTTTTCTGGATTCCTGTCCAGAAAATGTTTTCCATCCTGTGACTCTCAGTCAATGAATTTCTTTTTGAGTTAAATGTGTTTTTTTATGCAGCATATTGTTAGATCTTA